AATGCAAGTTATAGTGTTCTCTCACCTAAAAATCAGTTCAGAATCTGGGCATATCTTCCTTCTTCCTTATAATCACTACTGGAGCTGGCCAAGCACTCTCTGAACGCTGTACCATTCCATTTCATAATTTCATAACATCCATTATACTTCACTGCTTACTGCCTCCCTAGTGTACCAGGGAAGCTTGTGCAGCAGTTGTTTACACAGACGTGCATCACCTGTATCTATGTGATGTTGAATAACTGTAGTTCAGCACAATCGGTCATCAGGTTCCATAAATATATTGATATGTTTCACCAACAAATTACTGAGTTGCTGCCATTATGTTTTGTCTAGACTGTATACACAATCCTCAACTAACAATCTCAGATGTGTTGGTATCCATATATTTTCAACTGCAGGATGATGATACAACCTTAGAGTAATCACTAGCATTCGTTCCTTTCACTAAGCTTACCATGCCAGTAACCATTCCATCTTGTAGCTGGATAACTGATTCGCCATAATTGTAGAACAACACCAGGACTTCATCCTACTTCAGGTAGATAACTGCCAGGCTAATGTTCTTGCTTTCTAGACTGAACATAGCCCCTTTCATGCATGAGCTCAATAAATGTTACATGGAACCAATGCACCAGATAATGTCTGTAGTAAACCCTGGAACACCACTTGTGTACCTGAGGGAGGGCTGTGACTTACTCTCCCACATACACACATACAGAACACTGTTTGTTTGGTCAAGCTGGCCACATTGGATAATTCTACCATTGAAAATCAGTTCACCCAATCCTGTTGCCAGAATCAAGGTTAGCAACAACTAACTTTGTTTCGTAAGCAAAACCTTCTGGACATAGTTGGAGCTTCACCTCTCAAATCACGTTGAGTTTATTTTTCATTTGTTAAAACAAAGTTTTGGATGATAGGCCCACGTGGTAGTTTTGCTTAGAGTGCTCAATATACTGTAAGATTTATCAGTGTTCTGGCTGCCTCTGTATCAACTAGGAACTCTTTCTCATGCCCTTGTACTCCAAAAGGCACATACCAAAACCCATTATGCCCTAATATAATTGGCATGACCACAACACTTTTTTGGTGCAATCTGTTGCTTGCATTCTCAAGTCTTTGACAATAGCTGACTTGGGATCCTCTAGTTGCCTGTAGCTACAGCTGTCATATTCTCTGCCTGCTGTTGCCTCTCCTAAACTTGTTGTACTGTACATCAAAACTGATAGCCTTGTCAAACCCAGATGTTTGGTAAGGTAGGAGTAGTTCAATAAAAAGTGACCCAACACTCCACAGGCAGAGCACATGCTTTACTCTTCCCTTCAAGGGTGATGTAGATGTGGTATATAAACTATAGGATGGCTGGGATAGCCCTACCCATTCATTGGATACCAATGTATTTAAATCACAACACCAAGATGTGTGGGTTGTTGCCTAACCCTTGGCTGGATTAGAACCCGGTACAATATGGCCACATGGGTAGGATGGTCTGTTTAAGGTAAAATTACTGCACCTGCTGCTATACGTTTCTTCCTCTATTGCAACTGGCTCAATGTTACTACTTCATACCACACCATAATAGAAACTGTCCCAGTTAAGGTGGGAAGGTCTCTCACACCCACATGATACCACGTTGTCTCACTAGGTAGCCTTTCTATGAACTTGTCTCTAAGAATATCTTCACAATCTGGCAGGTCCATTTCAGAGTGTGCTTTACATTGCAATTTGTGCAGGCCATCTGCATAAGTAGGCAAGCTTTCTGTGACACCCCTCTTCAGAGCTTTGAATTCCACCTGGTGGATTGCTCTGTTTTCCACTGGGTGGAAACTCTGGTGCAGTAATGATTGTCTTGCAGTCTAATAGTTTCTCCTCATCCAAAGGCTCAACAGAGGCTAGAACAAAACCATTCAGAATCAGGTGTTGTACATCTGTTCTGTCCAACCATTTGAGACAGTTATTTGCCTGAAATGCATGAGAAAGTGCTTCAAATCTTCTTTTGCTCACCTTTTATTATCAGTAAAGTGAGCTAATTCAAGTTGTTCATCGGGAAGTGTGATCATGGCCAGATACTCTCTTTCCCGACTTCCTTAGCATCACTAACACAGCATGGTAGGGGCTCTCAGGGATCCAAATACTCTGATGAATGGTAGGCCTATGATCCAGGGTGGCAGAGCAACAAGATAATCCAGGCTGTTCATCTACTAGCTCTTCTCTTTCCGAAGATGCTCCATGGATCATGTTTTCATTGGCAGTATCCTCCCAGCTCTGGGAGGCTCACCACTGTCTCATGACTCACCCACTTCACCATTCAGTGCTCATAACCTCACTTGCAAGTGAGTTAGCTCAGGTTGGTGGACTTCATTGTTCAAAGGCACCTCCAGTCTCTCTGTGATATTCTCATGTGGCTTCAACCAGAGCTGAGGCTGAGTTATTCTGGCTGTTGTAAACAGTCCTGAAAACATGGTATATCCATATACCACAGAAAATTAGAGAGTTGTTAATGCTACTTTCATTTTTAAAGGGTTCAATATTAGTTGCTCTGGGAAATCATGTAGGTTAGTTAGTCTTACTTCTGTAGTGGGAAATTAAAATAACCCAGTAAGATAAAAGAAGTTTCCAAAATCATTCAGTGAAATATGCTACATAAAAGAAAGCCAACATGTATTCTCCAAAAGAAAATCTCGGTTGATAATCTGTTATCTTTTTTTATGGATGTTCCTTGTTATATGGATAAAGTAAATGATGTGGACTTGATGTGCATGGATTCCAAAACGTTTTAGTAAGGCGCCACACAAAATAATAGCTATGAAAATCATACTGGTATAAGTTGAAGAAAGCAAAAGATAGTTATTAATGAAGTTCAGTCAAACTGGACCCTTGTTACTAGTAAAGTGCCTTAGGGGTCAGTGCTTGGGCCTTGCTTACATTAATTATATTGATAGGAGCATAATTAGTAATGATATTTTCTAATGACATTACCCTCTTGAGTATTTCTAGCTGCATTAAGAATGTTGTGGTACAACAGAATGACTTGGATCTATTGGTAAGTTGGACAAAAATTTAGAAATTTACCAAATATTTTGTTGCTAGTAGCAAAGCTACTTGAATTTTATGATGTATTTACATGCATATTAATACATGTCAAACGAGGTAATTACTCTCGCTACAGAAATCACTAGTTAGGCTTACCTTGAAATTCTTTGTACAACTTAGTCTGTCATCTAAAAAAGGATACAAAAGGTACTAAATCATTGGAAATGGTTCAGAGGAGAGCTAATAGAATGATTTAGAGATGGAAGGGTTATGTCATAGGGATAGGATAAAACCTCTTATTTTCTTCTGAGAAAAGGAAGATAAGGAGTGACCTTATTAAAGTTTACAAGATTTTCCAAATGGTCAACAGGACAAAGACCCTCTTTTTTCATAATATTTTCTTAAGATAACAAGACGAGAGGACAGAAGTTTAAGATTATGAAACAGCAGGCTAAGCTCAAGTTAATACAGTTTTATTTTTCAAAGAAGGAGATTGACTATGAAATGAGAACCATAGGCAGTAGTAGAAGCCAACACATTACTTATCTACCTCTATGTCAAGATCCTTTTCCTTAGTCATACTGTTGTGTATCTTATCTATATTAAACCTGTTGTGAGAATTATGATAATTAAAATGCATTTACTATAAAGGTCATTTGTTAGATATCTGTCCAATTAACTAACTAAAACATCATCAGAAAAAGATCCCAGATTATCAAGCAAGATTTTCCTTAGGTGAATCATGTTGGCTTTTGTGTGTGTGTGTATCATATCTCACTGAATGATTTTGGAGAGCTTCTTTTATCAGACTCTCTAGAATTTTTTCCAATACAGAAATATGACTAACTTGTCTATAATGTCCATGGCAACACTTCTTAGCCCATTTAAAATAAGAATAACGTTAGCAACTCTCCTATCCTCAGGTACATGTTCACTAGCGTATATGAAAGAGAGAGAGGCTTGCATATATGATTTTTGACCACATTTTAAAACCTTGAAAAAATTCGAATGATCCTGGTGCTTTTGACATAGCTTTCACAAAGATGTTCTTATTCATAAATACTTTATAGTTTTATTGTATATAGCACCTAACTGAGTTAAGTATCATCGTCTTTGTTAGATATACATGACTGTTTCAATTTAAGGATAGCATAAGTGTTAAATTTAGTTATTTTTTAAAGCTATAGTTTATCACAAGTTTGTTCATGTCACTATTTACAAATCATACGTTGTGTAGTTCAGTTGTTGTGAATTGGCAATTGTTGTATTATTGCTTCATGTTATTAGAATCTTCTAAGTTTTTCTCATTGTTTTAATCAAATGTTCTTGTATCATAATATCTAGTAGTGTGTGGAACATTCTAGGCCTCTGTCGAATCAAAAAACACATCCGAAATGTAGTTTGGGATAGTTAGTTAGACAGTTTGTTTGTTTTAAGTTATGCACAAAGCTACACAAAAAACCCGATTTCTAGCATTGTAAGTCCGCAGACATGCCGCTGTGCCAATGGGGGGCAAGTTAGATAGAGATAGATCTAGACTGTGTGATTGTGAGTCTAGCCATAAAGAGTGTATAGTGGTGATTTTTAAAGTGAAATTATCACAGATTGTATTATAATAACAGAGTAGAGAAGAATAATTTGTCTTGTTAATTGTGTTCTAAAGTAACTGTGGAATTTGACAAAAAAAGAGACAATTATTTACAGCTGTGGATACAACTGGGATAATCAACAGTGTAACAAACATTTGTATATATATATGTTTGACGTGTTTTAATATATTATTTTAAAACAGTTGGACTTTGTGCTATTTGTTTATTGTTGAAATTTAATGCCAACAAGTCACAGGTACCTACTGTAAAGAATCCAGCCCATACATAAAAACCTGACAGTAAAATACATTATAAAATGTACAAAAGGGGAAAAATATCTTCATTATTTGCCAAACATGAATATAACAAATTTACCTTCAACTTAACATCTGGGTTAGATATAAGGTTCACTAAGTGTGGAATTGCTCCTGTGTCAGTGAGAGCTTGGGCTAATTCTAATGTATGTTTGCCTATTTCTGCTAAAGCTGTTGCAACTATACGTTTAAGGGAAACTTCTGGTTCCTGAAGACATAATACCAGTAGAGGCACGGCTCCCACTTCTACAACAGCTTCTGCCAGTTCTTTAAGAAATAAATTTGTTTAATCAGTTCCTACATTAAGTACAATTAATTATTACAAAGTTTCTCATTACTTTATGAATAAATTTGAGTTACTTAAGTTATTTTTGAATTTGTACCAAAAACAATGATTATCATAATAATGACAATTTCTAAAAGTTGCACAAATATACATTTTACCAGTTATGAGATTTTATTTTGAAATAAACATAAAAATTTACATTGCATTTAGTAATTCCGAAGTACGTATTATTGAGTAAAATCTAAAGCTAAAGAAAAGATGTATGATAAGATTTTTTCATGATGTACTGTAATTATGAATTTAGAATTATCAGTTAGACTAAGTACTTCGGTTAATATTAGCAGAATATTTCAAATAAAGCTTTGCTATCTTACATACCAGTAGAGTGTTTGGCTACATTTGCTAAAGCCCAAACTGCGGACTCTTTCACTTGTGGATCGAATTCCTCCAGACACAGCAGCAATGCATCAAGGCCTCCAACCTCTACTACAGCTTTGGCTAGTTCAGCTGAATGCCTAGACACAGTTCTCAAGACGAAAGCTGCAGATCTTTTATAATATTTCTAAATAAAAGGCATATAAACTGCAATTGCCTGTTTGTTTTGTTTCTTTGTTTTTCACAACTTTAACAGTTAGATGGTTATTTTCAGTTTTTACAATATCAAGAAACTAAATATGTTCACATCTGGTTTCAACTAAACAAGAAATTAAAACTGTACTGTCATTGTCATACCAGAATGAGGAATGTTCTCAGTTCGATTTTCACTGGGATCCGTTTATAATTGTCTTTTTCCTACAACAGCGGGGGTACAGACTTTTAAAACTAGTGATAATAATAATAATAATAAAAGTAGTAAATATGTTAATATAGTTTTCATTCAGAGCATGAGATATAACTGTACTGTAAAGTCTTTAAAATATCGAATGTAAAAAAGTAAACCCTCTGCCTGTTTATACCACAGGTTAGTATAAAATTCAAAACACTGTATTATATAATTAACAAGTCATCACCGACACGGGAATAAACCAAGGTGGCAAAACGTAAGAGACATCACACATGAAATCTATGCTGTTCGAAAGGTACAGTGCGCGTTTTTATACCAATATTCTTCATCGATGAAAGTATAGAAACAATAGTTTCCTCCTTTATGTTTGGTAGTTTAGAGAAAGTAGTTTGTAGAAATAACTCCGCAATTTGTAGGCTATTTTTCATATACCTGTTGACATTGCCTATCCCCTGCTTATATCCATTATTTAAAAAAAAATTCTTCCAAAGTAAGTTTGAATTACACATTTTAAGCAAAAAAAGTATCACAGCTAAATATTAAAAAATAAGTTACTCTTATACACTTATTTTTGAGTATTGGAATGATAGTAACATTTCTCTGTGATGTGTTATTCTCCCCCCCCCCCTGTTAATTATTATTAAGTTTATATTTTACATATCTTATCCGTTGACATTTAGTTGTGTCTTGTTACTTAAAGTGTTCAATTTCACGTGATTTTCGTGAAGGGCAACACTGGCAACCGTCCATTATTTCGTGTCAGTGATAGCTATAAAACTGAGTCAATACGCTTTGAATCTAGAAAGGTGTGTCAAAATGGTTTACAAAAATAAATTGAGAGAACTTCATATAAATGACTGTGTTGTTCTCCATCCATTCTTTTTTTTCTATGAAAATATGAAATGCTGTAAACACTTGGATGTTTATAACTTATTTTTAGCAGGATGTATGGATGTTACTTGTGAAAGTAAGAAATTGTAGTCAGAGAAGATCATGTATTTTTAAGTAATTGCTTGAGTGAGTCCTTTTGTAGCTCCTACTTTTTTTGTTATCTCCATAGTCGCTATTATTAGCCTAAAACTTGTGCTCACCAGTATCAAGTGTTATTGTATGGAGCATTTATTCATTGTGATATTACCTGTATACCTCTCACAGTGGTGTCTAACTGACCCTGGCGTAACCTAACGACAGTACTTATAGTATTATAATTACATACATTACTCGTTAGTGTCCATAGAAAAGATATGCAACCCTTCTTAAATCTCAATAATTGATGAATATTATGATACTTATATACATATTTAATGGCAGGTTTAAATTTATATAAATATTATTTGATAAATTTATTCGAATACCTTTCACATAATCAAAATGTGCGCTGCAGATACATGAATACTGTGATTTTATTTCTGGGTCAGCTGGGAACCTACGTAATCATATACCCGGTGCCGAACCCTTACTATTGGTGCAACCAAAAGCACAATTAGTGAAAAGGCATTTTTCATGTTGTTGTTCATTTAACTACCTAGAATATACATACTTTGTAGTCCAATTTGGCAGACACTAAGAGAAAAGAGCAAGATCTTAAATGGTGTCATGACGTCATCCTAAACAGGTTTAATGGGTTGCGCTTTGATCTTTGTAATGCGCAATTCAATCTCCCACTTTATGTGAATAAGTTGCTCCCATGTAAATAGCCAAAGCGTTCAATTGTAATCCCGTTGTCTGGTGTGGCAAATAAAAAAGAACTGAAGACTAATAGGTCAAACGCCCGAGAACGAGTAGCTTTAAGGGCCTAGTTGTTGTTGTTCTTGGATTGTTAGAATTAATTTTCTGTAAATACTAATTTATAACAACAGGGTGCCCTGATTCAGGAATCTTTTCCTGCCCTGAGTATCCCCAAGGACTATTTATATTTAATTACAACTATACGTATACTAACATACTTTGTTGTATTTCATGTTCAAGGATATCACTTCCAGTCCTGTCTTACTAGTTTCTCTTGGAGTTGTGTAAGTAGCTATAAGCCCCCAAATGATTCACCAATAAGTATGAAGGCTTGTATTGCTAAAAACACGGTTTCGATACCCGTGGTGGTCATCTCATAGGTAGCCAATTGTGTAGCTTTGCGCTTAACAATAAACGAACAAACGAAATTTCCTATAAATAAGAATGATTGTCAAGGCCGACCATCTAACATGAATTTGACTCTATGGTTTCAAGAGTGGCAAAAATGTCATAAGTATTCAACTGATTCTTCTTCATATATTTGTTACAACTCCTAACATTGGATTTATACAAGAGTTTGTGGTTATTTTACAACCTGAAGACATCAACCTTGGTAAGTATATTATGTTACACTTACTTAGAGGTGTATGTGTTGTAGAACCTACATCTTCTATTTTCAATGTCCGAAAGTTGGCCAGTGGTGTTGTTGCTTTGGATGTAAATGACCTGGACACTGCTTCCACTTTAATCAAACTAATGCAACTAAGATATTGGAAGCTCACTGTTAGTTACCCCTAATCCAACCTATAATTGAACATCAAGGAGTCGTATCTGGTATCTCTCCAGAAATAAATGTGAGTGAACTTCAAAAAAAGATCTAATACAACAAAGGTTTTGCATTATTGTTGTTGGCCATCTCAATCAAAGAGTCAGCTGATCATCCTTCGCTATCTGGAACATTTGTCACATTTAAAGGAATCGGTTTTCCACAAAACATTACTACTGGATTTTCTCCCCCACTCCCTCATCCATTGTTAGAGATGTTAATAGTACAGACATATTGTTTCTAACTGCAGGAGAACCTCCATTGTTTTAATTGTAGTGGAACTCATCAATGTACAGAGTGTACAGTTACCTCACATCCTCATCATGTGAACTGTGGCAGTTCCGATTGCACAAATTTGAACAGTATCTGAATTGGAATGCATTATGGCTGTCCATAACATCAGTAGCTATAGTATAGAAGCTAGGAACTTAATTCCATTTCATTTTCTTCACCACATCATTGGATCATCTTATTCACATTCATGCCCTGTCACAAAATATTCCTGACTCATATTCTGGTTATCATTCTTGTGATGCTCCATTATACTTAAATCTATATCCTACTGTTGACTGTAAGTATTTTGATCAAGGCACCCCATCTGATTCTTTGTCTTTAGGGTCCTTGCACCTATGATTTGGATTTTGTTTAATTTCTTCAAAAAAGTTGTGAATGGTTTTGTTCCCAATAGCAATCACTCCGAACATATCAAAATTGTTGGGTAACATGTAATCATATCCATTTTGCTGATTTAGCTCTAGAGGACATCCACTTATTACTTCAGTCTTTATATTTCACACTGAAATGTAAAAGTCTTCATGTGCATGATTCTGGGTTGCATGTTTTATGTCTTATTCATGTCTGTTGTTTCTTTTAACTCTATTGCAGAGTTTCCCTTACCTTATCATCCTTTCTCTTCAATTGGCCTTCACAGTTTTCACTGTCGCCACAAGGCACAATTCAAGTGGGGAGTCAAAATAAAGGACCCGCCTTCAAAGTTATGTAATTACAGTCAAGAGAATACTATAATTTTAATACAATATACATATCTTCAGGAAATTTTGCAGCTTATCAGTGAACATTAGAAGGCTTTCATATACAAAATATCAGATATTTTGTATCAAGTTTTAAGATTTTTGAAGTAATGATTTGTATTTTTTCTTTTCGAATGTTGACTGTCCAACACGCAAAGTAATTTTGACTGCGTCGGTCCCTCTGATGACCTGTTGCGTGTATTACCGTCAAGTGGCAACAAATTGACCCCGATCACACTGTGTCAGGGCTCAGGGGATGTCGGCAAGACCGCTTCAGTCTCTTTGGTGACCTGAGTGACAACTGTCATGCCCATTTAATTAACAAGAAGCCGCCGTGGTACCGACGTTTTTATATACTTAGCCACAGAATAGGTATCTAGAGGTTTTACGTAAAGCTGCTGACAAACCTGGCGATTTTTATTAGAATTGAAAATTAAGCATAATAAACAATGTGAAATTGTGAAGTGAACAAAAAACTTGAAAATTCATATAAATATGCTGAATGAATAAAGAAAGAATTATGTTTCTCATTTTCCAGGGGCAGGTACCAACCCTTGCCACCCCCATGCGGACACACATGCGTAGAAGAGTGTATAAATATCGAATCACGTTCTACTGGTGTTCTTTTTACAGCAGCCGGTTATTACAGAATTTAAAAAACATTGTGAGGAAAAAGAGACACTAGTTGTAATTATTTTTGGAAATAAACAAAATAAAAACAGAATATAAAGATCCACGTTGTCAGAGAATTTTCTGCTACGCATATATTTTCTTATATGCATCGAATATATTTTCTTGCTTATGTGAAAAAATTAAAACATTTTCGCATATGTAACGTACGGAGTCTGCGGGTACCTAAACACGGCACTGTGTACCATTGTAGTAACTTTTGATTTAGATATTATATTATCTCGAATTCGAACCCGAAACCTCCCACACACTATGGGCGTACCAAACGAGCTAAAGGGTTAATATACTAGTACTTGCTAATAAAGCACTTTCTAAAAACTCACACTACCACACTCCAGTGGAATGCTCAATGCAGTAAACTTGTTGTCAAGCGCTGCAAGGTGTAATGCCACTCTTAATATTGTAGTAGCTGAGCCATTGGGATCTTCTTCAGGGTTTATTTGGTTTTAGGCTTTTACGTTTATATGTCTGCATGCTCTTGTCTTATCTTTATGACAACAAACACTTTAACTTTTAACATTAGTATTGCAGTAATCTACATATTATTTTACAATGTGTTACTCTTCTTTCCTCTCCTGGGATCGAACCAAACAATGGATGTCTTCTTCCCTCGATGCCTAGAAATTTTGTCTGATTTTACAATAGCTTTGTAACTATATGCAGGTGGTTCCTTTGATTCGTATAACAGTCATACGGCATGTGCTTCTTATGTACAAAGCTGGTAAATAACTCAATTTTACCGTTTCCCTTATTTCATGAGAATTTTTTCCGCCAAATTATTCTCCTTGCTCTACATTGGATTACTATGGATATAGCTTCTTTTTTGTATATATTCTTATTGGTTCTAAAAGCGACTTCCAAGCTTTATCTTCTTCTTCCTCCTCCTTGTAATCTGTCTTGGTTTGAAAGTGCTGCTGCGTTATTAATTATCGAGATCACTTTGGTTGCAGAGTAGACTTTATTTGGTATCTAGGACATGATGAACTTTCAGGTAATGAATCTGTTGACCGTCTTGCCAAAGCTGCTCATCACCAATGCTCCATAGATCTCTATCCTCCATTGAGTTCTTCACACATTTGCAAAAATTTCATCCAACACGTACACTACATATAGTATTTTTGATGAACGTCTTCATCCCAAGGCACTTCACTTTTGAAATTTAACCTTCTCCACCCATAGTTTTAATTTTGTATCTCCCAACAGATGTCTTGATATTATCAATATCAATTCTTTTAGGGTCCTGTCGTTTGAATTCTGTCCTAACTTATAAAAGATATATTAAATGATGCGCTTTTTTTTAAGAATCCTGGTATTAACGTTTTGATCATTACTAATATATAATAAAATATTCATTACACTCATAATAGAATTACTTATGCTTGAAATAAACTTTCACTTACACTTTTTTTTCTAGTGAAGATCTGTTATGTTTAATACTTAATCTATTATACACAACATATTCTTATATATATAATATACGTTATGTAATCTTACATGAGTATTGATTTAATTGATATCGATGACACAAGTTTCTAGAAAAATTTCCAAAAAGAGAGGAAAAGAAATAAGGTAAAACCGTCATTTGGTGATCAGATAAATAATATTTGTTATCTTATCAAACGTTTAACAATTTTGTTTAACTGTCAATAAATACAAATATACAATACGTCCAACTTGTTTTGTTTTTTCGTATTGACTGAGTAACTGTGACATGCAAACTCCACATATCACATTCTCCTGCAGTATACATATTGCATATCATACAAAAATTTTCTACAATTATAATTCGGAATTGTTAAAGTCTGTAAAGGTCGTGTGCTGAATCAACTCTAAATGTGTTTTTCCATAACAGGATTCAAGCAAAGAAGCTATCTACAACTGTTTCCTGGAGTAGTTGTATCGTATTATACAATATCTTGAGTTTGTGTGGAATTGCCGTAAGACTGTCAAATGGAATAGACATATATTTATATTATCGTGATTGGTCAGCTACAAAAATAATGTTTCATTTTATTCAAGTAAGTTATATTTTAATTTCTTTTTCAATTTGCTTGTCATTTTAATTCGGTTTATTTTCCTCTTTACTCAACCTATCATAGCCTGCCATTGAACAATAATCCAAATTAACGTCGTGTCTTGTCTCATTCATTCTAGCTGTAACAAATCTCAACACCTGTTCTTCCACCAACAAGATCCGCGAATCTTATGTTGCTGGGAAAATCAAGTAACTGTATGCTTGGTTTATCCTTGGAAAACATTTCAAATATTGTCTTACAATGAGTTTTCGGTATGTTATATTTTCATAATAGCTGCTCTCTTCTTTGATTTATGTGTGTGTGTGTGTGTGTGTGGATTTCTAAGAATATTTCTTCAAATTCATTGAATTCAATTAAATCATTACGGTTATTTTTAACTTATGATATATGACCCCAACATGTGTTTTTAAAAGCGTATTGGGTTATCAAAAGTTAAAAATATTCAGGGTTTGTATTATAGTAAACCAAACAATTTTGTATAAGAATCCTGATTTTTATAACTTTTGAGTTATTTGGTTATTTACGATGAGTGGTAAAAATCAAAAGATGAACGGCAGTCATTTTATCAGAAACATACAGCTATATAAAGCAAACCGGTATATCTTAATATAAAATGTCAACCTATTTCATCACAACTTTCAACATGTGAACAAGACGTCGCTAACGACAAAATCTGATAATGGTTCGGGTAATCAAAATTATTTGCCGTTAATGCACACTTAATATTTTAGCGTGTACGAAGGGTAGGACTTAACATTGTGTTTATACTATTCTTGTTATTAGTCTGATTTAACCACTGTATTATAAAAGTTTTTCCACATGAGTTCATAAATAGCGTATTATATTATCAGTTATCAACTAGAGCACATTAACTATTAACTTCATGAAAGAGCTGCTAGAAAAAAAAATGCTTTACGACTCTTCAAACCGTTTCTCTTTTTCTTTATTTGATTTAGGAGAAAATCTCTCATGGGCCCAGCGGTCATCACTGGGTTATTTATATCAATTAAAGAAATAGAGAGGGGGAAATGTTAGAAGTTAATTATAATATGCTGAGCTGATGTTCTGATTAAAATAAATTAACGTCCAGATGTCTGGCTGATGCCATCCTATTGCTCACTCCTGAAACGCATTTTGGTTAAAGTGCCAGAATTATAACTAGTTTTGTAAAAGTGACATTGTGGTGGAAGAGAAACAAATAATGTTTTTGACGCAAGATTTTATCAAAGCTTGTGACCACAGGAAAGAAACATTGTTGAAATGTATAGTAACTTTATATAGTTACAAGCTTCTGGCCAAACCCACAATATATATGGAAAGTAAACGATGAAAAGTGCATTTAAGTTTTAATAAACCTTACATTTTATCCTATTAAGTGTAATTGCCAGTGATGTAGCAACATATTCAGCGCTATTAGGCTGACTTCTCGTCAAAGTTTAACCATCTTGGACTTCAAATTATTAATACTACCAAGCTAAATAAGATACTGATTTTGCAATGTTATCCAATTATTATAAAACAAAAACAAACTTCATATTAATTGTTGCTTTTTTTCCTTTTACACGAAAAAAAAACAACAGTTTGGAGCGATATTTTCTCCTTCATTTAAACTAGAGAAACATTGCTCTTAACCACTATGAAATTATTACGCAATTAATAAAACTCTTTAAACTTCAAATATATTTAGGGTGTTTAAATGCTTTGCTTTTCGTCATCTTTATCATTCAGTATTACCATTCTTCGTTACATTTAAAAGGTGTGATTGTTTATTGTTAAGAACAATGATCTATCTGTGCCCATCAAGGGGATCGAAACCTGATGTTTAGAGTTATAAACCCTCACACTTACCGCTGAGCCACTGTGAGACACATTTAAAAGTACTCATGAGTATTTTTTTTTTTTAGTTCGGATAATATTATTGTCTTACTCATGCATGTTTTAAGTTAAAATATTTGTTGTTCATTGTTGTATCTTATGAAATAATCAATTGGGCTGCATACTATATTTCAGGCTGGTCTGGCCATGTTGTCAGAATGCCAGAAAATCGCCTCTCCAAAAGCATCTTCTTCGGTGAACTACAGACCGGAGCACGCTCCCGAGGTGGTCAGAAGAAGCGCTAAAATGACACACTCAAGGTTGCGCTAAAGGACTGAAACATTGATCCTAATACCTGGGGAACTCTTGCCTAAAACCACCCAGCATAGAGGAGTGCTGTCACAAAGGGATCAGCCACATATGAACAACATCGCATCCTGACAGCCCAGCACAAACGTGCAGCACGTAATGCAGTAGGAAGCAACCATCAGAACCAACCAACCAACCCTCCTTCCTGTTGTCTTGCCCTCATAAAGAACGAACAAAAAAAAAAAATATGTTTCAGGCGTTCTACTTTAACCACGCAATAAAATATATTATAAAATGTAAGCTATTATTATAAAAATAGTTATATACATAATTTATTATGTGTTGTAAATTAAACAAATTTTTTATTAATATATTACAGATTTACTTCCCAGTAAAATATTGATGTAGCAACAGAAGATGGCGGCTGTGAAAATACTACCATAAGCTATTGACTGCAAGTTTGAATAATGCGGGCGAGTCTAAAGTTTTTGTTTTGTTGAATTTCAAACATAGGTACTCGAGGGCTACCTGTGCTAACCTAGAGGAAAGGCAGTTAGTCAATACTACCCACCGCCAACTCCTGGGCTATTGTAATCGAATAGTGGGATTTGACTGTCACTCTCATAATGCACTCACTGACCCAAATTATATAGCTCGATTTTAGCGAATAGAGCTAGTTGCCTCACACCTAAAGCTCTGTGCTAATCTAGTACAACCTTTTGGGACACATTATACGTAAATAACAGTAATAGTTTGACCACAGACCACTGTCTATACAAATTACGTTTGAAAGTTGTTGTTTTTTGTAACTTAAACATAATAACCTACTATTGAAACCAATATGATATGTAATATTACAATAGGGTGTTCCATAAACAACTTCATATGTTGAATCTCAATAAAACTAATATTACTGAGTGAAAGTTACCATATGCTGAATTTCAGTAAAACCAACATTACTAAGTGAAAATTACCATATGTTGAATCCCAACAAAACTAATAATACTGAGTGAAAGTAACCATATGTTGAATTTCAGTAAAACCAATATTACTAAGTGAAAATTACCATATGTTGAATCTCAATAAAACCAATATTACCAAGTGAATATTAATTCTGGATCACCCTGTACTGATCAGACTTTAGAAACATTATGCAGTGTTTGCCGTTTTCTTTTGCAAATAAAAATTTCATCACATTTTTACATTGTTAAAAAAAGAAATATATGTATATTGCAAAATTTCTCGTATGTCTTACATTTTGGTGAGCCAAAGAATATACCAGCTGGGGTAGAACATTACTCTTTACCACAGCGTCTGCCATTTCTCTGCTATGATTGGCTAGTTTACCCAGAGCCAAAGCTGACATTTGTTGAATAGAGGGCACTGTATCAAGCAGAAGTGGTCGTAAATGAAGTAGTACTCCTATTTCAATGGATAATTTTCATAAATAACAGCAAATATAAAGACAATATTTAAATAGACTAAAAACAACGTTCCCACTTGCTCATTTTGACTTAAATATCTTTAAAATATAGAAATGCCCTTTTTTCAGTATTTTAATTTCGCGTTGAAATTAAAGCATCAAATCATGCAAGTTAAATATTTTCAGTTTTAGTTGAAATATGTTAAGAATGATATAGAAACCTTATTGTCATAATCAGTTACTTCATCACGAAAGATTACAAAAATATGAATTACCTTGACTGAATACAAAAGTAAATGTTTGTTCGTTTGAAGTTAAGCACAAAACTACGCAATGTGCTATCTGTGCTCTGCCCACCACGGATATCGAAACCCTGTTTCTAGCGTCGCAAGTCAGTAGACATACCGCTATGCCACTGGGGGCTTCTTATGCTTTTAAATTCACAGACATTTGTTGTTATTCATTCAAAATACCAATGTTAAAATTAAACAATTGATAAATACTTTTGCTAATAATATTTTGCATCTATCATATTACTTATTTTGAATGAAAAAAAACACAAATATTTGGTGTCTCAAGTTTTATAGTACAAACTGTAATTTCTCATTTGTTCCAAAATCTTCTAAAAAGGTTGAATATGTTGTAGTAAAATTATTTTGGAGCCTCTCTACATTGTTACAGCCCATGTCACCACATCGGGTCATACTCTATCCGACAGCCGTGTTTTGATGAGCTAGAGTGACGGTTTGCAACGCCATTTCAACAGTCCAATTGCAAAAAAAATCATAATTTCTGCACCTTCTAACTTGACTGATATGTCTTTCCATTCTAAGAACCAATGAGTTAAAGCAAAGTAGGATATGTTAAAATATGCTATTGAATAGCATGAATATCTGCTTCATACTCTAGTTGCCAGTATGTGAGAGTTGAACATATATGTCGTGAAAGCAACTTGTGTCGTTTTTTCAAATGGAGATCCTTCTTCATCATGTTGCTTATTGGTGCCTTGAACACGTAGACGTCTTTGGCCATTGATTTTTTGTGTTTGTGGTTTCACACCTATTACAAGATGCTACACTTTGCTTTCTAGGGCTGGGGTACAACTAATATAAGGTTTCTTTCTGTATGGTCCTGGTGCACATACCGTCACATCCAGTCATGCACTATCTGACAGCCATGTATTTTTACAATATCCCTGCAGCACATTTTCCATAACAAAGGCTTCATCATAAGGCTGTCATCTACTCCCTGCATTATTTCTGTATTGAATCTGTTGTATAAGGACAACAGTTACTCAGTACCCACTTCAGCAGTCTAATCACACAAAAAACCTATAGTCATTGCATCTAGCAACTTGACTGTACGTCTTCATATGGAATAGTATGAATACCTATCTCATTCTAGAGCTGCTTGAGCAACTCGAGTCACTTTTCCAGACAGAGATCCTTCTTGATTATGTTGCATACTGTTCTCTGGGACACGTGAATGGAATTTGCCATTCACTTTTGTGTTAGTGAATCTTCCCTGTTACAAGACGATGTACTTTTCTATGCATGTCTGTGGCATAATTGTATAAGGTTTCTTTCTAAGTGGTCTTAGTCCCCAAAATGATCCATATTCCTTCATTTTTAAATGCCATTGAGTACAAGGGATACACATGTGTTGAAAATTCTAATTCCCGATCTGAACACATTGTCAGATATAAAAGACTGCTTAGTGTAGGTAGTATTATTACTTTATTGATTTTGTGTTTCATTGATGTCTAGCTATCGAATGTTGTGTGCAATCCATTGATGTCGAGGCTAAATAGATTTCTAGAAGGCCTAAGTGATAGGCATATAAATAACAGTGATCGGACGAGCGAAAACGGAGAGTAAAATGTAGAGTCACGGGAAAGAGAAGTTTGGTGAGAGAAAAGTTGGAAAATGCAAAGTTAACCATCGTAGGAGTGAAAGGCCTAACAGGTGACATATTAGAATGAGATCAATAGTTTGAAAGAGATAAGGAGAATAATTTGTCTTGTCAAAGGGTGTTCTAAGCTAATTGAACCTGCTTGTGTAGACTTGGACAAAAATCAAACGATTATTGGAAGTACAGAATATAACTGCGGTAACTCACGCGACAGCATAAGTGGATTATATAAGGATACCATTGCGGTATATATATATGCAATAGAAATTTAGTTCGGATTGTCAACTGAATTCTAAAGCAATTGAGTAGGCCTAAGTGGACTTTTGACAAGAAAATGAGGACTGTATAGTGTTTAAGATATAACTATGATCTCCATAGTGTAAATAATTTTGTATGTACGTTCAATTTGTTTCTAATATATATATATTATTTTAAAAACAAGTGGAGTGCGTGCTGTTCGTTTATTGTCGAATTTATTGCGAACAAGTCACAGACACCTACTGTAGAATAATCCTTAGCCCAGCACACCCATATACTTACTTTAATATAAATTACTTAAAAAGTACGTTGCTGACACACATCTTTATGGTCTTAGTGAAAAAGTATTTTGCACCAGAAAGGGTTGTTACATACCTTTCCCAAAAGCGATTAATTTTTGGTGACATCATACTACCCACATAACTCCAAACAATGTCAAAATTTTGTTGTGATACATGTCACCCAACTGCGACTTTATAGTAGTTGTGGTTGTCACGTGACTAAGCATATTTACGTATTCAAAAGTGTTTTAATATAACGTACTAAACATTCTTTATTTTCACAACAAATTAACAAATTAGACTTGTATAATATACTCAGTATGAAGCTTAATGTCCCAGATTAATATAATTTATTAAAGGCTTCGAATTTTTCGTTGTATAAAAGTAAGATTAAACGAAGGTCAAATACACTTACCTGCGGCTTGTAAAGTTTCTACATTATAAGATTTCGAAGATAAGTCAGTAATTGTTTGGACGAATTGGTGTCTTGCCCTTTGGTAGTTTTCAAAAACTGTAATAAATAAAGTCACAAAATAAAGCCTTTAATATGTGTAGATGTTAATGAAAGTGTCATACTGATAACCTGCAAGACATGCTTATAACATATATTAAACACAGTTCTTTGAATATGAATAATATTTGACATCAGTTTTACACTGTGTTTTTCCACTTGCTCCTCTTGGCAGTTTAGTCTGCACAAATGTGATAAAACATTACGGTAATTCAACATTTTTAACACTTTGTTTTTAACTTAAGATATGATACACAAAGTAATTTCAAATACCATGTGACAGATGTCATAAGACATTTCATTCAATATTGATCAGATCATCAAGCTGGCTGGCTTTCAACAATTAGATTCATGAAACACTAAAGATAATGACCATATGTTATTTTTAATTAGGTGCTGGCCTTTAAGAAAAAAGGATAACGCAAAAGCATTAGTATTAAAAGTATAAAATAGCAAATATAATTAGACATCATAGCCCCCAAGTGGCACAATAATAAGTCTGCGAACTTATAGCGCTAGAAACCAGGTTTTGATATTCGTGGTGGGAACAGCGCAGATAGCCATTCTATAGCTTTGCGCTTAATTGCAAACAAACAAATAGAAGTAACATTAAAACTAGCTGTTAGGTAATTTTCAGTAATAAATATCTCCAGCAATAAAGAATGCATTAAACGAAGTTATTTCACAAGAATAGGAATTAATAAGGTGCTAAAAACAAGGCCTTTTGCTCATTAGGACAACTGGGTTTCAACAACTAAAGTTTTATGTTGTGCTGTAAAATCCTTAAGCTGATGAATCAAGATATTAAGCCTAACAAATGTGATGACAATGAAACTTATTTTACCATATTCACTTTAATTACTCCATTATGTATCTCAAATTAAGAGAGTGTACAAAATATTATTTTTGGTTTGTTTTGTCTATCACACATCACTGCCTGGAAGCCTTTTGTTCAATACCAGACCTAATCATTTAGGCAACAAATATTGTAGACAAAAGTCAAAAATCTTTTTAACATGTTACGTATATGCAGTTAAAAAAAGAAAAAAAAAGTTTAATGATATGCTGTAAAATACCTAAGCTGGTAAAGCAAAAATGCTTGTTAGATCTAAATAATGTGAAAAAAATCGTGTTTGAGTTGCATTTGCGTTTATTCTACCTATACTACTTGTCTATTTAATAATAAAAACAAACAAACAGGTGCATGGGTCCAGCGCAGCTGGTATGTTATGGTATTGATTAAATAACATCTGGGCAGTAAATTTTAGATAACAAATACATTTGAATTGTTATTTTTATGCACTTCTGATTTAAAATTTGTAATGGACTAATCAGGGAAAGTATGATAAAAAATTTGCAGTCAAACATTACTTTTCCTCATTATACGCCTTTTATTTCGCTTTTTCTGTTTAACTTTACACTTTTACACAACAACATTCGGTTTCTTTTTACTGTGTAGGGGTACAAACAATTTATCAGAAAGACTTTCGGCAACTTTAGATCTAGTCTAACTAATGAGTTCTACTATTTAACAAGTATTCCTGGGCAGTGACTTGTGACAGAAATATTTTTACATAATATAATTAACTAATAATAATGAGGATTATGTATTTAAAAATGTTTAAAACAGTGGTGTGTATAGGATTACGTGAAGACAAAATCACGGATACGACATATTTAAAATAATACTATGCTGCAGTCTTTAAACTTTATTTGTTTAGCATAGGTCTACACAATTCAGATTTTTAGGTCTCAAACGTATAACATTTACTAAATTTAGGACTTAGACTGTTTGCAAGCAAGTAATGCAAAACTTGTTTAATGTAAGTGGCTAATTTATTTAAATAACTTGCCATATCTAATTTAATTGTTATCAGCAGTAAATTAGTTTAACATCATTTACAACTGTCTTTTGCTAAAAAAAATATGAAATTGTAGGTGTACCGACTACACATCTTACCCTTTTGAGACTTATCCAAGTCTTATAGTTATAACTTTACTTACGTATATTAGGCCTAACACTGAAAGCACATATTTGAAGTTAGGCCTCACGCCAAATACTTAGAATTAATAGTTTATCACATACCCTGTGCAACGTGTTTTTCAATACTCATTGGTATAATAATTCTATCTGGTGTTATTCGAATTTTTGATTTCACTGTGGCTTCTGGTAGCTTTTTATTTTATTGATATTTGTGATATTACTGTATTTCCTGTTCTGTAGGCTGAGATACGTATATGAGTTGCTGCCATCTACAAAAAAGAGGTACTAGATTTGTTACAAAAAAAAGTTTAAAAAATCGAAAATGTGAAATTCAGACTACGTAAAATAAACTCTAGACAATTAATAATTGCAACACAGCTTAAAAGTGAAACAATTAAAGGTGATTACCCATCATTCATAATTAATTTGTAAAACTTGAAAACAAATCTCATGACATATTATAGTAAGACTTCGTTCCTAACCAATACAATATAGCTCTTAAAACTCCACCACGTTAAGGGAATTTTTTATAACATTTATTCAGTTATAACTACTTTGGTAGTATAGGTCAATATTAAGTGTTTGTTACTCCTTAGTTAAAATGTTTTATTATTATTATTGTTGTGTTTTTCATAGTTCTCAGTTTGGATGAAAAGTGTCACTGGAATAACACTTCAAATTTCCCTGTTTTGAGAGCATGCAATATGCGGGTTTTCTAGTTGGCATTTAACCGACTTTCTTGCAGGGAAGATACCCCATGATGTCCAGAAATAGAAATATATCTTTCTTGTTGGACGCCTCCCCTACTTAAATGGTTCAGCAGAAAATCTGAGGACTTATAAAGCTAAAAATCTGGTTTTTATACCCGTGGTTGACACAGCACAGATAGCCCATTGTGTAGTTTTGTGCTTAAAAACAAACAAACTTTTGTTGGCAAAGTGGATAAAGACTAGAGACAGCCAATGGATACAGATCTTGGATGTGAGGTGCGACTGTGCACAAGCCTAACTTTAGCAAAATATTATGTTTATTGTATAAAATGCTGGGTTTTCCTCTGTAGGACATAATTAGGAAATTTAGACGACGGATTAGAGAAAGGATTCGATATAGTAGTGAAGGGTGATATATTTTTAGTGTTAACTTGTTTTGTTTAAACTTTAAAATCTTTGTTTTGATATGGTGAAACTCGTAAGTGCGACATTTAATATTTTTGTTTTTTATTTTTGGATTTTGATATTGGTGATTTGACCATTATTTTCGCTTATATTTAAAAGAAAAAAATAACTTGAATTTAATTTTAGTAAGTGAACTTTTAGTTAGGTCCATTTTTCAGTTTATTGTTTGCTAGGAATTAAACATTTAGTTTTATTTAACTCGTCTTGATTTTAACTTGATAACGTTAACTTTGGGGTTTCACTTTTATGTATAAGCTCTGAATGTTTTCGTTTAACTTATTTAACTTAACAGGAGGAATGTTTTAATAGTCTTCATCTTACTCTTATTAGTTCAACACGCAATACTGAACACTTCTCCTGGTTTTATTGTGATTGTGTTTTTTACATAAACATTTGTGTATTCTTATTCCTATTGGTGTCGAGTCTTTCTCCTTGACAATCCCAGTTGTAGATCAGAGAGATTTACACATTCCGTAATCTTGTATTCTCCAGTTAACGTACCTAACTGTCTGCCCTGCGGGAAAACGTTTACCGGAAATACCACGCTTTGCAAATCGTTTCATGTCAGATTTTTGTAAAATACACTGCGTTATTCTGTAGTAAATACTTTTTCGCTAATATTCGTAATTAGCTGTTACATGTCTTTTAATCGTGATTAAACTAACACAAGTGGAAGAAGCATAAGCATTTGAGACCTGAAAATAGTAATTCTATTAGGATCAGTGGAGCATAATCCCAAATCGAGAAATTCCTAAAGTATACATGGTAAAATGTGGGCATATAGTTTATGGCAGTCTTAAAATTATGAACTTGTACTACACCATGGGTGGACAACAAATGTTTTTCCTGGTCATGTATGTGGTCAGTCGATCGTAGAAATGGCCACGCTATTAATAAAACAGAACATTTTCACAAAATAAACGTACTTCAGGATTCTAATGACAGTTGAGGTCAATTACAAACACAACTCAAAAGTACAAAAAAAATAATTTTTCAAAATTACAAAAGCGTGAAATTTCAATGAGAGATTTGGCATTCTTTTTCTTTGAACATCGAAAAACACACTATCGATGATTCTACTAGTTGGCCACGCATTTTTGCGAAATGGTCACACGTGGCTATTTGCCAATGGGCTACTCACACAGGTACTACACCATACATGGATTTGGAGGCTGACGCCTCTGCCCTCTAGTTTTTCCGACTATGTTTGATGTCGTATACTTGATAAAACCAGGAACTGAAACTTAACTGTTAATATGAGACTTACATGAAAGCATCCTGTAATTTATTTTTCAATCTATCATTTAATCTATCACAATTCAAACAACTACCTATTTTATGCTAAACTAAAATACATTGGCTTGTTTATCACTAAGTATTTTATTGTATAATATATCTAAAAAATTACAAGACTACATCCTCCAACTCTAGCAAAAGAATAAAATATCATAAATTTTCAAAGTCTTTCGACTCTAGCCCATTAAGGATAATATTGTCTTTGGCACTCTTTCTTAACCTAAGCTGAGTGCAATTTTTTTTTATCTACTATTGAATAGGGATAAAATTAAAATAAAAGGGAATACCTGTGGTATTCTTTAGTAAAAACCTTTATAAATATTAGATCTGAAGCAGAAGGTTTGAGAGGAATTGTATTTCAGGGAATAAATAGAAAACGAACAGACAAAGAAACACTAAAACACGTTTAAAACAAGAAACTAAATCTTTATTACGCAAACAAAACGTGTTGAAACTTTACCGTAGTACTGGTTGACTTTTATGTAACGCAGGCTACCGGAATGTGAAAAAGGTATGAAACTTCTTTACTCGATAAACACTGGGCAAGTGATCATTATCATTTTATATATATATATATA